CCCCAAAACCCCAAAACCCCGCTATTCTAAAATGATATATTTTATAATAAAGAAATATTTATTCATCTCTTGTAATCTTTAAGATTATTTTAATAGCTTCAATTAACATTATCACAATAATAATTTAATAAAATCTTAATGGAGGATCAAATTTGCAAAAGTAGCATACATAGAAATATTATGTACCTCAAGTAAATTATATCTAGCAGTAGTACTTCTGAAATTTAAAGTGATGAGATATTGTTCGAAAACTTAAGCGAGAGTGTTACATCTATCGTTCTAAATAATCCCTCTAAGATGAATCACCTGACTATTAATATGCTTGAGATACTACTGAAGTAACTTAAATATTGGAATTCTGAGTCATAAATTAACACTCCAAAGGTTTTACTTATGGAGGGGGCAGGGGACTAAGCTTTTTGCTCAGGTGGAAATATGAGAGGTCTTTATGATGCTTATATTGGTGTGAGACCTAGGGAATATCAAGGTATTTACACAGGTACTTTATACAATGTAGATTATTTATTGCATAATATGAATCAAATTCACGTATGCATTTGGAATGGTTACGTATTTGGAAGTGGCGCAGGTATTTGCACAAGTGCTCCAGTTCGAATAGCATGTGAAAATACTTAGTGGTCTATGCCTGAATGTGTTGCAGGATTTTTAGTTGATAATGCTACTTCCATTTTCTTCGCTTAGTTGAAAGGGGGTGGAGAGAAATACATCTGCTTAGGACTTTACTTAGCCATTACCGGAAAAAGAGTCACTGGTAATGATTTGATTAGATGGGGTATCTGCACTCATTATATGGAAAAAAATAAAATATAAAAATTTAAAGAGGAAGTGACTAAATTGGAAAGTGATCAAATCAATCTTCTGCTGATTTAAAGTATTGCAGATAAATATTCATCTAACTAAGAAATAAATGAATTGCCTTAGGACTATGAGATTATAAAAGAAATTTTCTAGCCCGACTCAATTTAAAAGATAGTTTAGAGATTAATTGAATATAAAGATTAGACAGACCCTTTCATTCAGGATACCAAGATGTATATTGAAAAGAATTCCCCGATTAGTATGGCAATATGTTTTGAACTAGTAATTAGAGGTTAATTTATGACTAAAAAAGAAGCACTTGAGTTAGATTATAAGGTTGGCTAGGGTCTTTTAAACTACCCAGATTATTTTGAAGGTGTAAAAATGCTTTTGGTTGAAAAGGATAGAAATAAAAGACCTAAATGGACTAAAAATAGTGTATTTGAGGTAACTAAAGAAGACCTTCATTTCTTTTTTAACTACCCTGATGACTTAAAGTATCTGTGAGACTCTTTTAACAGTCATAAGATTTAGAATAAATGATATCAAATAAATTTAATATTTTCTGATTTTTAGACTTATATAATTTTGGCGCATAGTGGGGTTTTGGGGTTTTGGGGTTTTGGGG